AACAAATCTGTGCGTACCAATGGTTCTTGCATGAGGCCCAATGTTTTATTTTGAAAAAAGACCAGATTCTCTATTTTACGTCCGTCTATGACTCACTCTTGACGCATCAAGACGCTTGTCTCGGTGAAAACAGAGGTCTTTGAAAGTTTCTTTACAAAGGCAAAGGGGAGAAGTCGTTGGCACATGYCAGGAARACACTGCTAAGAAGGTTACATACAAGTACACAGTGAGTGGATTGACGTTTATTATTATATTTACAAAATACTAGTTCTTGTGTTGGTCATAGGCTATCAWCTTMTTTTGTTGTATTCATCCGTCATACCTGCCGRTCCATGAAAATACGTCTGACAATAAACCAGTCAGTGGCGCAAAAAMGKTTGGGGACCGCTGATGTAGAGTCTGTACCCGGGGTTGAGATCAGGACTGGAAGAAYCAGATCCTGGATCCAGATGGATGTRATGAACTTCCTCTGTAGATGAGCTGTTCTCAGCCTTGGAGGTGAGGAGCACCTGTTGATGTCTGAGTAAACGACAAACATGGATCTTCTGTTTCTTGGAGAAAGACTTCCTGTTGATAAGATTAAGCTCGCTAGAGAAGAAGTCCATGTCAGGAAGTCCCAGAAAGATCCTGTGAGGAGACAAAAKGTCTGGCATCATCATGAAAACCACTCTGGGACAACAGGGTCAGGTKGTCATGAAGGTCTTCGAAGTCCAGGATCCCACTTGAAGATATTTGACTGAAGACTGGCAGCTGTCCTGAGCCCTCTTTACATGATCACCCCAGAGAAAAGCTGCTGATCTTCAGGTTCTTCAGGTGGTTGAATTGTCTGACTGGGGTCATCCCTCAGACAGGATACCCCAGGGTGGATCCAGAACTCTGAAGGACTAGTTCTATGATCTGGGAAGATCTTGAGATCCTCCAGGAGGAGTTGGAAAATGTCATTGAGGAGGATGAGGATGGATGGATAGACAGATAGATGGATGAATGAATGAACGGATGAATGAATGAATGAATGAATGAATGAATGAATGAATGAATGAATGAATGAATGAATGAATGAATGAATGATGTTTTGTGTGTAAAAATAAAACTAATGAATGTGTGTAACATTTGTGTTCAGACACACAGACTCTGAACCGACTGTGGTCTGTGGATAAGACTGTTTCCAACCTGACTGAGTCCCAAAGCTCCACCCAGCAGCTGTCTAAAGGTAACACACCTGTCCAGGTGACATTCACCTGCTGTCCTCTCCTTTGACTCACCTGCTGCTGGTCTTCACAGAGACAGCTAAAGATGTTCAGAGACTCAAGTTTGCTGTGGAGAGCAACAAGGACCAGCTGACCTCAGGTGCAGCCATGAGACACACAGAGTTACAAACATCTGTAAACATCTGTTGAAAACATCTGTAAACATCTGTTGAAAACATCTGTACACATCTGTCAGAAAACAAACATCTGTACACATCTGTCAGAAAACAAACATTTGTAAACATCTGTCAGAAAACAAACATATGTAAACATGTTAGAAACAAACATCTGTAAACATCTGTCAGAAAACAAACATCTGTAAACATCTGTCAGAAACATACATCTGTCAGAAACATACATCTGTCAGAAACATACATCTGTCAGAAAAGAAACATCTGTAAACATCTGTAAACATCTGTAAACATGTCTGATCTTGTCTCTTCAGTATCTGAGGCTCTGAAGCAGCTGTCAGTTCTGGAAACTCTCAGCAGGACAGTGGCCAACCTCAAATGTACCCTGGAACGCTTCATGAGCAACGGTACACACTACACACTACACACACTACACACTACACATACTACACACACTACACACTACACACTACACACTACACACTACACACACTACACACACTACACACTACACACACTACACATACTACACAATACACACACTACACACTACACACTACACACACTACACACACTACACACTACACACACACTACACACACTACACACACACTACACACACTACACACACACTACACACACTACACACAC